GTGTGTTTCTCTTGTCGCTTTTCAGCTGAGCGTCACAACTTATGAAAAGTGTAATCTAGGCTCGTGCATTGCTTAGCTTTATAAGGAATTGATATGTCTCCCGGCACTGATCGATGGGACCCAGCTAAATGCTCCCACCCGAAGAAACTGAGCCCATTTTATTTCTAAATCCCGCTACCCACCTCTTGCGATCGCGGGCTGTATCTTTACAAGTTGTCGAAGAAGCATTCCCGTGGTGATTAAAGAGCGTTCATGATGGACCAACGCGCTTAGGACTTTCATTGCACAAAATGGCGCTATCCGCAGTTGCAGACAGGGGTATCTCACTCTCCCTAGTCAATAGCAGGCAGAAAAAAAGCGATGAAAGATTACTATACTCTAGTTCGCTGCGGATGAAGGGGCAAATCATACAGTGTGAGTGTGCCACGGCCCCAAACCCGTTCCAAGTTGTTGAAGCGAGTATGTGACAACAATTGGTGGAAAACGAGTGGTATGAGCGATATGATACAGTTTTGTGGGTTGCTGGCTTCAACAACTGGTGGAGAACGCGTTTCGCGTGGTGAGCGCAATGTGGAGCATGCAGGAGCCCATAATCTAGCCATCGTGGCCACAAAGTTCCGCGAGCGCAACTCCCACCTGGTCACCTACTAATACGGAAGTGCCAGAACACGACTAGACTTTGTTCCGTTAGGGATCGCGATTGAGGGTTTATCCCAGACGCGAAACGTACCGTATGAAACAGCCGTCACGCAGCATCGCCCGCTGACTTGTGCTCGGAAGACGAGATCACACCGCCTAGGCCGAAACAGGTGTGGACTCAGATATTGTAGGAGAGAAATGGTGGCATTTGAAAGAGAATGAGGTAGCTATTTTCGTATTCGGCTACCAACCGTCACAACTGCCAACGAAACTCGAAAGTTGCTGCCAAAGCGATAGTTTCAGGCCGCTCGCTCCGAACTCTGCACAACAAAGTCTGGAAGGCGTAGAATTGAGGGTCAGGCATGGTTGGTGCCATAGGTGTGGTGCTATCACCCACAAGCAACCAATCACGTTGCTGTTCGGATACAAGTCAAGTGACAACTGGAGAAAATACCAGGAAGCCAGGAGTGCGGCAAAGAAGGCTGGTGCTACTGCGAAAGCCGCTCACTTCGAGGACGTCAGCAAGAAGATTTGTTGACTTGGCTCGCCACTGTGAGACCAGGGATACGGAGAAGTTCGTTGGCGTCAACTACGAGAAGGAGCGTCTTTTGATGGACCGAAAGGAGGTGCTGAGGCGATGACGCGACTACTTTGAGAAAATCTCTACAGTACACAGTATACACACCCGGCCATACCTCGTGCCTAACCATATCCTGTCATAACCAGAAGATAAAAATAAATAAAACAGGCTCTGAAGTAGAATGAAGCCAGGCAAAGCAGGAGGCCGCGACGACGCGGCCGACAAATTGAAGTTACAATTACAAATTGAAGTGCTGGTATTCTGCCGAGTGGTTGACGAAAATCGCTAATCAGGTCGTTGCAGAGATGAAGATGCCCGAACAGTGGCAAGAGAGCACAACGGTACCGATCTGGAAGAAAAAGGGCAGTCCTGCAGACTGCTCAAATTATCGTCCAATTCGCTTGCTCTCGCACAGCATGAAAATTTTCGAGCGAATTGTTGACAATATATCCGTGATACAGTCCCGCTCTCCGCCACCCACAGTCGCTTCGTGACATTGTCGTTTGGGATTGTCGTGTTCCGCCTGAGGTTGTATGGCACGCCTTACGAGGTACGACGTTCCCGAAGAATTGACTGAGTGAATGCGCATCCTGTATTCCAACCCACGAGTCGCGTGCGAATATCAACAAGCATCTCACTGGAATCCCCCATCACAGTGGAGGTGCGCCAAGGCTCTGCACTTTCCCCGCTCCTCTTTGTTGTCATGGATGCCGTTTCACGAAACCTTCGAAAGCAGCCTCTTTGGACGCTTCTGTGGACTGACGATGTGATGCTCGCCATTATAAGAAGGGTTTCGAGCAACAGGTGCAAGCTTGACCTAAGCGTTTGGCGAATTTCGGATTGAATGTCAAGGAAACCGAGTACTTGACAACCGACTTGAACGAACACACTTGTTACGTCTACGTCTAGCAGTCTGGATTCGGAACCGTGTGACTGCAGCCTAGTCTGGGCGGCGCTCTATGACCGGGTTGTTGCGACAAGGACGATACCAGAGCTCCTCGTAGATCTGTAGAACCGTCATTCGACCTTTCGTGATATATGGCGCTGAATGCTGGTCTACAACGAAGAAGTTGAATCTCTCGGGAGTGATAGAGACGAAAATGTTGCGCTGGACGGCCGGTGTCACGCGTATGGATCGCGTTCGAAATGACACGGAAGAGATTCGGTGTAGCTCCTGTAGTCAAGAAAATGTGCGGTGCTCACCCCTGATGGTATCGTCGTGTACTGCGTGGGAATTCTGACACCGTTCGTAAGACTGGTCTCGAGCTCGAGGTGCGCGGAAAGCGGCCTAAGGACGCCCCAAGCAGCGCTGGCTACACAGTACATCGCATGCGGACTTGAATATATTTGGCACCCATCCCGACCAGGTATTCAATCGAGAGAAGTGGCGAGACAAAATAAGAGGAGCGGACCACCACGCTGAAGAAGAAGGAGAAGAAGTTATCCGAAGAAGCTTACCATTCGAGCTCCCTTCGGATTTGGTGACATTTGGCCGGACGGCTGCCGCGATTTCGTAGATTGTGTGGTACCAAGCTTGAGAGTACCTTCTTTCAGAAGCTCTTTACTTGGACGAAGAACGTCTTGTTCCTCTGGTGGGCTCTGAGGAATTGTCTGTTTTGGGGCATCTGGTGTTGGATTCATAGCAGGCTCTTCTACTACGGATAATTCAATTCCTGCAGGTTTGAACGCTTCGCCTTCAGCTCGTGGTGCAGGTTTGGCTTGTTCTTGTGCTGCTTTCTTTCCACCTGGCTGTACCCAATAGTCAACAAATGATTCCTCAGGTCCCTCCTTAGCCGGCTTGTCCTGGACAACCGCCTTGTCCTGGGCGACTTTTGCTGCCTCGACGACTGGTGCTTTAGCTCGTATAGGGTCCTTGGTCTTTATTCTGCGAGAACCTTGGTGATCGGCTCCTTTGCGGCCGAGTAATGCGGAAATTTTCGGGGCGAAAGGAAGCCCTGCTCCATCAGCTCGTCCACCTGCAGGCTGTACGATAGCTTCGCCACTTTTACTATTTTTAGTATTTTTCTTTTTCTCCGCCTTCTTCTTCTGAATAAATGAAACGTTAGCTGCCTTCCAGACACCAAAACATCAAATACATTATGAGCTCAATGAAGCCCCGTTTCTCAAAAGACTCGGAAGCCTTCAAAATTGTAGGTCCCGGATGGTTTTATGACATAGCCAGCTTGATTCACCACCCAGCACCCACTGTGCAATCATTATCCTCCAAAGATAGCGCGGTGACGGACCGTGGGCTGGAGCTCTGCCAAGGCGGCCTTTCCAACCATCATTCCATCCTATGTCTACAGCAGTTGGTGGGAAAGGCTGTCTTGGCTGCGATCCAACTCACTCTATTTCATTCGCCCCATCGATTGCAGGGATCATTACTGTGCGATCACCTGCGAGGCGGACATGTCTGTCGCTGTAGAAGTGTGCCGCTGTTGTGCCAAAAATAAAGCCAGAGGTTCAGATTGCTAGATCATTTTTCATGTCTGCGCTTACGAGATGAGGGCCATACGCAATACGCCATACGATCAACCCCGCACCAAACCATGGCCACACACTTCTGCAGGGCGCTAATGCCTTTAACCCGATCTACGTTGAGAAGGGATGGGGAAGTCTTACCACATGCCCTTTACGGTCCGCACCGTCTTCGGAAGCAGTGTCGTCCGATGAGATGTCTTCCTTAGATTTCGGTTTTTTCTCCTCTTTCGATAATTTTGACTTCTTATCCTTTTTTGATTCTTTCAGTCTTAACTGAGGTCTCTTGTCAAATAGGTTCTTGGAAAATTTTGGCCTCAATCTTGACAATTTATCTGATTCTTTTGACCCTTTTCCAGGTTTCTTTACTTCTTCTCCTGATTCCTTTGACCCTCTCACAGGCTTCTTCACCTCCTCTATTGACTCTCGTGATTTCTTCCCAGCAGCAGTCCGGAAATTCTCTGTCCTTCTCTCCATGACTTTCTCTCTTTCTCTATTTCTACGGCAGCAACCCACAACTACACTTTTCACCGGTTCCATGAATTCGACGAGCTTGCTTGCCTGAAAGCTGGCTAAAGCTGAAACTAATGTTGGTATGAACTGAGGAGGACAGATGATGATGAATTCTCTCGAGGTTCAAACGACCTCTCCGAGGGTCAAATATACTGACAAAGGATATCGGCAGAGAGAGTGAAGGGTCACCGATGGACTCCTTCGCACTCTCCCCTTCCCCGCGGAAAACTTATAGCGTACCGCCTAGGACAATGGCAGATGTGTCTCTGATCGCGTACTCATATGGCTAAACACCTTTTGACAGTCGCTATCGCCCCGGAGAACGAGGGGGCGTGTGAAGCGGCGTGAATTGGAGCGCTCATGATGTACCACTTGGTGGAAGAAGCCGCTATGGCCGCGCTTTGATCCGAGC